ATTCCCCCTGCCGCTGAGCGAGAAATCCCAAAAGACCCCTCCACCCCACGGGGCTGAGCAACACCATCTCCTCACCCCTCCCCAAAATCCCACCCCAAACCCGAGCTGGGGGCTCCGTGGGGAACCCCATAAACACTCTGGACTCCCCACCATGATCCTCACCCCTCGTCCTCTCCGTGCCCGGCTCAGACGTGCAGAAGCAGTACGAGTGYGCCAACTTTGGCGAGCAGGGCATCACCGTGGGCTGTTGGGACGTTTACCGGCACGACATCGACTGCCAGTGGATCGACATCACCGACGTCCCGCCCGGCGATTACCTCTTCCAGGTGGGAAAAAAAACGGTGGAGTCCCTTTTTTTTTTTTTTTATCTCCCCGATTTTGGGACAAATTCGTTGATTTGGTACCTCCCGCTTGTGTTTGTAAAGGGTTTTTATTCTCAGGTTGTTTGAAAATTAAAGGATAATGAACACCCTCCCGGGGTGGGCTCATAACCACTGTTTGGAGATAAAAATCTTCCCAAATTCCATGTCCAGCTAATCGTTTCTATTCCCAGGATATTTAAAAATTAAAGGATAATGAACTTCGTCCCGGGATGAGCTCATAATCACAGTTTGGAGATTAAAATCTTCCCAAATTCCGTGTCCAGCTAATCCTGGCTGATGTTGGTGTCACATTCCCAAGCGCCGCATCCCGCTTTGGAGCTGGTTTTAGCCACGCCCCCCAAATTTTGGGATTAAACTGCGCCATTTGTGAGGATTTTGCAGGATTTAGGGTCTGGTCTGTGCCCGGGGGTGGAATGGGGGGAATTCTGTGGATTTAAAAATTCCCTGGAGGGGAGGGAAGGGAGAGGAATTATCCCTGTGAGGAAAACCCACATCCCATCCCAAATCCTGCATCCCACCCCAAATCCAACCCCAAATCCCGCATCCCACTCCAAATCCTGCATCCCATCCCAAATCCCTCATCTCTCCCCAAATCCCACATCCCACCCCAAATCCCACCCCAAATCCCTCATCCCACCCCAAATCCCCCCTGCAATGACTCCCCCGTCACTCCACCCCTCCCCAGGTCGTGATCAACCCCAATTACGAGGTGGCCGAGTCGGATTATTCCAACAATGTCATGAAGTGCCGGAGCCGCTACGACGGGCACCGCATCTGGATGTACAACTGCCACATAGGTGAGGGGACGGG